GGCTAATTTTTGTATTTTTAGTAGAGACAGGGTTTCACCATGTTGGCCAGGCTGGTCTTGAACTCCTGACCTCAAGTGATCCGCCTGCCTCAGCCTCCCAAAGTGGTGGGATTACAGGCATGAGCCACCACACCCGGCCTTATACCATTCTTGAAAAGGCTCCAGTTTCTAAATAAAGTCCTACACATCGGCCTAAATCCTACTTTGACCTGGTGGACCATCTTCACATCAGCAGGGTGGAGTTAGCACCAGTCTCTCTCTTACCCCCAATTTAATCACCCCCAAATGATTCTAGAGTGACTCAGGGCTTCATGAAAGAGATTACCTTTCTGTAGGATGTGCACTCACCTTCACATGCCAGTTTTCAATCTGGAAACACCGTGATTCTGGGATATTTCCTTAGAATATAAGCTCCATGAGGACAGGGGTCTTTTGTTTTCTTACATTTCCAAACTCAATTCTGTTCCCTGGTGCCTGGAACAAGGCCTGGCACAGAGCAGCGAGCCCAAGAGTTCTTGCTGGGTGCAGGCCTGAGGGTCAGTCACACCCCATCGTAAGTGTACCTGGAGATGCCACAAACGTGATCTGTATTTTGACACTTTCTCGCCAATTAGACAAGTCAACCAGGACAGCATGAAGGACAGAATGAGAGCGCAGGCTCTGGGGCCAGACACCTGGGTTCAGATTCCCCTGCTGCCATGTATACTCAGGTGACCTCCAGTGTCCATTGACGGTCCGATGGCTCAGAGGGGCTGAGAGGGCCGGATGCACTCACAGGTAAAGCAAGGGTGCCTGGCACAGACCAAGCACTGCACGTGGCTTTGTGGCTGCTGCTGGACCACCGCCCCAACATCATGGCAATGACTCCACTTTATTTCTGCTTTCCTACGTGGGTGTGGGCATTGATGTCGCTCTTGTCCTACCTCAAGACTTCTTTAGTGTGTTCTTTTCTCTCCTGTTTAGGCTCCCAAGAAACATTTGCAAAATGGGATTATCCGTGGCTACCAAATAGGTTACCGAGAGTACAGCACTGGGGGTAACTTCCAATTCAACATCATCAGTGTCGACACCAGCGGGGACAGTGAGGTTTACACCCTGGACAACCTGAATAAGTTCACTCAGTACGGCCTGGTGGTGCAGGCCTGTAACCGGGCCGGCACGGGGCCTTCTTCTCAGGAAATCATCACAACCACTCTCGAGGATGGTAGGTTCGGCCAGGCCCTGGTGGTGACTTCCCCTCCGCAAAGGTTCCCTCAGGTCTCCCCCGGGGCTCCCCCAACCTCGCCGCCCCCCCTCCTCCCCCCACTGACTTTGCAGTGCCCTGCAGGGCCTGGGGTCTCAGGTGGGAAAGCCTTGCCTCGTGACCTCGCCCACCTCACTGATTCACACCCCTCCGTTAGGGCTGGGTTGCAAAGCCAGCAAGTCCCTCGCTTTTCAGACTCTTCCTCATTCATTTCGGGGACAAGAATTGGGCTTTTCTGGAGTGAAAGCAAGGCTCTCCCTATTACTGCAGAAGTCTCAAGAGAATGCAGAAATGCTGTTTGCTAAAAAACTTTCTCCCAAATGTTAAGAAGGTTTTTTAAATTTATTTTTTTTTAATTGCTTTCTATTTTCAAGCATTCTGAGCACAGAGAAAAGGAATTTTCAGATCGCACGGTGATCAATCGCCCCCTAGCGGCCAAGATGAATTAATTAGCCCTTCCACGGTGACACCGAATAACCCAGAAGCTCGAATTTCCAGTAGTGTTTGGAAATAAAGAACCCTGATATCCAAAGGCATAGTGTTTTAGGCAGAAAGTTAAGATATGGGGTTATTTGTAGCAATAAGTGGTAGCTTTCAAGGCAGCAAGCTGGAACTGCATTTACCTCTTGTGCAGTTAGCCATTTGATCATAGCTCCACCTCCCAGGTTCACGCCATTCTCCTGCCTCAGCCTCCCAAGCGGCTGGGACTACTGGCGCCCGCCACCACGCCTGGGTAATTTTTTGTATTTTTAGTAGAGACAGGGTTTCACCGTGTTAGCCAGGATGGTCTCGATCTCCTGACCTCATGATCCGCCCGCCTGGGCCTCCCAAAGTGCTGGGATTACAGGCGTGAGCCACGGCGCCCGACCCTTGATCATAGGTTTGAGGAAGCAAATATGACTTGCACCTGTACTATCTGACAAGTTTTGCAAGGAGAGGAGTCTTCAGTGACTTGCAACTTGAACACTGGAATTGTCTATCTTCATAATCTTTGCAATAGTAGTTAAATATGCCTTTGTTTTTGCTTCAATGCTCATTTTTCATTAAGATGCTTGTTTCAGCCAGTATTTTGCACCCCCTCCTAGTGCCAGCAGTTAAGATGTACAAAAGCTCAGTAGTAAAAATGCTTTCAATATTCTTCTGACCCGTCTCCTCGTCTGTGGTCTCTCTTCCCTCTGGGGAAAGGGATGAGGAGGAGACGGGAAATCTGTGATTATATTTCTACTTTTTAGCACTTTACAATGGTTAAGCTTCCAATTTATATGCCAGATGTTACTAAATACAGAGGTACTATACTCTATAAAGTAAATGCAACTTAAAGAAGTAACTTCCAAGAGTAAGGGGAAAATAAATCAGACAAACAATGATCTTCTACTTGGGCAAAAAAAATTAAGAAGCTGTCCTAAAAGTAAAGAAACTAAGTTGGAAAGAGAGACTATGGAATCCATTAGAATATATGCATTGACTCATGATATTTTACTGAGTTATAAGATTTATATAGAGAAGTGATCTTTGTTATTTTTTCTTTCATTTTGGGGTTGAGTGCATTTTTTTGCTTACATATTGAAATATTAAAATATGTTGCTTTTACAGTATTGCTTTGCTCATAAACCACCCACGGTTATTACAGATTCTCATTATTTGATTTCAGTGCCCAGTTACCCCCCTGAAAATGTCCAAGCCATAGCAACATCACCAGAAAGCATATCAATATCCTGGTCCACACTTTCCAAGGAAGCCTTGAATGGAATTCTCCAGGGGTTCAGAGTCATTTACTGGGCCAACCTCATGGACGGAGGTAAGAGGACTAAACTAGGACTTTGGGTTTGCCTCCAGAGAATGCATGATGGAATTTGCAGACCCTTCCTAACTCCTAACAAGGGGCTCAGGATATGGCGGGTACCTCTTTATCAATAGACACTTTCGCCTTTTCTGTCATCTCTCATTCGACATTTGAACAGGTCTCTCTGTTTAAAACATCACACACCTTCTAAACCCAATTTGAAGCCTAGGCGGGGGTGGCACTCGGGAAATTCAACATTGATGTATTTTCCTAATTATGAGTGTCTATGTCAAGTCTCTGCAGGCAGCACCAAAACCTCCATCTCTACCTAGATCGTTCTATGTGATATGTATTCTAGAATGTTGGCCCCTTCCTGTTTCCCAGATAGAACTCCGCGGGGAAACGTTAAAGTTCCTGTAGTTGTGCTGTAAGTGGGTGTGGGAAGAGTGCCCAGGCACACGGAGGGGGGCACTCAGGAGGGGCCAGGACGTTCAGGGCCCTCTCGTTTTGTCTCCTGTTTCTCTTTCTCCTCTTCCTTCCCCTTCTCCTCCTCTCTTTTCCTTGTTCTTTATCGTGTGCGCGTGTGTGTGTGTGTGTGTGTGTGTGTGTGTGTGTGTTTTTCAAGTTGTAGGACAAAATTTTCCTGTTTGTTTAGGGCAAGACTTTGAAAAAGTGACTTTCTCAAGTGGCCATAAGATTGGGGCCACAAGTTTCTTGGAGCACACCTCATTGTCTTTGCCCTCAGGCTGCGAGTGGTGCCTGCCAGGCTGGGCCGGGTTGTGTGAGTATCCTGGGGGCAGAGCGAGGCTGCAGCCCCCAACAGGAGAGGCCTCTGGAAGTCTGCTCACTGTCTGTGTCCCAAGCCTGGGGGGCCCACACCTGCCTCCTCCCCTGCCCTCCATTTGCAGCCCCCTCCTGCGCCCCCTGTCCCTGGACAGTACCTCTCCTCCTGTTTGGGGCTTCTTTTCTTTTTTTTGAGAGAGGGTCTCCCCCTGTCACCCAGGCTGGGATGCAGGATCTCAGCTCACTGCAACCTCCACCTCCCGGGCTCAAGCAGTTCTTCTGCCTCAGCCTCCCAAGTAGATGGGATTACAGGCGTGCACCATGCCTGGCTAATTTTCAGTATTTTTAGTAGAGATGCGGTTTCGCCAGCTTGGTCAGGCTGGTCTTGAACTCCTGGCCTCAAATGACCTGCCCCCTTCGGCCTCCTAAAGTGCTGGGACTACAGGTGTGACCCACTGTGCCTAGCCTGGGGCTTCTTTTAACCCCTGCAACTGGATGTGATTTCTGATGAGTGCTCACCTCCAATTTTGGGCAAATGCAGTCAAGGACCTATCCCTTCCATGCTCAGGACCTCCTGGATCTGTTCTACCAGGCAGGCCGCTGTCCCCATGCAGGTAAACATAGGGCCCCACAAGGGGCAGGAGCCTCCACGGTGGGTGCAACAATAAGGCAAGAAGACACATGAGCAGCGCAAGCATTACTGGCTCAGCGAGCGCAGGCCTTTGAGCCTTAGCTCTGCTTGTCCCTAACTGGATGTGTTTCTCAGGACTGAGACCAGACCTTGTGCCTTTGATGCCGCGTGTAGTACCTGGAGCAGTACCAGCCATGGGAGGCGATCTAGAATGACCCCTCTTGGTCCTGCAGCAGACACATTTGCTAAACACCCACTCAGCACTGAGTTCATGGGAAACACCAAGGTTGCTGTGTCTGTCCCTGTCGACGTTCCAGACCAGGGACCGAAGAAGATGCTAATGAATATGGAACCACAGACCCAAGAAGGGCAGATTTAAGTAGATGATTCTGTAACACCTTCACCCCCCCAACCTAAAGACAAGCTTTTAAAACACCACAGAGTAGAGAGCGATGAAAATTTGCAAAGTCATCTATTTTATGGACAAAATGCCTTACGACATCATTACACCTGTTCCTTCTAATTTCTACTCCTTACATTGAGTGGGTGAAATTAAATACCCTAAACGTTCTTTTAAAGGTAGTGTTATGCTAAGATGTCTCTTCTGTTGTTCTTGTTGGAAATATTTCTAGAATTCAGTGGCGACTTCATCCACATGACCTGTATTTTCTAAGATCACTCACATTTGCTAACATTGCCTGCTGGCATCTCCATTCTAAAACGAAAGATGTGGCTTCATACCTTTAAAGCTTTGAAAACTTGAATATTCAAAAACATAATTCTTTAAATAAAGAAATGTTTGGGAGTGCATGCAGCTTTTTAAAGACACTTTCACTCATGGAATTAAAATCAAAGTGATGAGATAAATGTACAGTGTAGAAGTTCTGCACGTAATTTCCGAAAGATAAGCAAGAAACCTTCAGAAACAGGAACCTGCCTGCGAATGTCGCTCTTCCTGCTACCCGAGAGATTTCGGTTATGGAGCAGGTCAGTTCACGGGGCTACTGGACGCTTTCGCACAAACTCCTCATTCTGTGGCCTCCAGGGCTGGCTGGATTTCCACAGACATTGAGCGTGGAGTGACTGTGTAAAGCCACACCTTGAGCAAACGTCACCATCACACTCCACACACACACACACACACTCATCACAACACACAGCACGTAACCTGCACCCATGTGACACATATGCCACACACCCACATGCACCACATATCACACAGCAACCCCACACACCCCATACACACCACACACCACACCACACACACACACCACACACACTACACCGACACCACACATATACACACCACACATACAGCACACACCAAAGCACACACACCCCACACACATACACGCACCCCATATACACCACATACCACCCCCAGACACATCACACATGCACCACACCACACACCCCACATACACATGCACACACACCACACATACACCACGTACCACACCACACATACACATGCCCCACATACACATACCCCACATACACTGCGCACTATGCCACACATACAGACCACAGACACAACACATACACAAAGCCCACATATACTGCACACCACACCACACATACACACCACACACACCACACATACACACACCCCACATACACCACACACCACAC